AAACTCATGTTATTCATGCAATATGGTAGCTGAGCACCTCAATCATTCACAGCTGATCAGTCTAAATTGACAGCTAGGTAGCATGAAATTAACTTGTACCCAGTCTACTTTGGAAAACATTAGTGAAAATAAACAATTTGGATGGAGAATCCGATCCACTTCAAACGCTATCTCTTCAATTCGCAAGCCACGTAGTGGTGGTGCCACTTGGCTCAAAGGCACGCCCTCGTACTCAGCGTCCTGGCGTGCTCCTTCCATTTGCTGTGCCAGAAAGGCCCTGACTTCTGTGGCTGACAAATCTATGTGAGCCACAAGTTTGGAGTGACCTGCAGCCAGGAACTTGTCGAGAATCAAAGAGTGCACGCTTGGCCAACATTCTTGCATGCGAGCAGCTTGGACAACAATCACATGACCGTTGCTTCCTGTTCGCTTGCCAGCTGTGGAAACTCCAGTCTGAAGGTCATGCTTGATGATGTGCAAGCTATCTGGGCTAAACAGTGTGAGATACAAATCATCAAAAGGGGCCTCATCCCGAACACCTGCCCGTGGCAGCTTGACACCGCAAAAACGGAAGTACCAATACTTCCCGCTGTTGTTCCAAGACATCTGTGAACTTTTGCACTCAATTTTGCGGCCATCCATGGTAAAGTCATACTCAGAGTGGTAGTGTGACCTGCGTGTTCCATCGCACCGGGTCCCTTCAGTAGGCTCTTCAATTGCGCTGTTGGGATGTAGCCGCGCCAGCTCCTTCTTGCAAAATTGCTCCAGGATTTTTCCGCGACGCGCCCCGGACAGCAAGGATAACTCATGTCCGGCACTTCCTATGTAGACTTGGCTGGCCAAATGTGGCTTTTTAAGGATGTGCTGGAACTGCGAGGCACTCAGCACCAAGGGCCTCCACTGTTGCCATCGGAAACCGAGCGCAAATACTGGCAAAGCTGAAAAAAACATGAGGACTCTTGAGCCCGGGGTTCCTCACTGAAGAGAGGTACCTCAATCACGTGATACATCTTAGATATCGCTGAGAGTCACCAACAAAGGACAGCTTCGGGTGAAGCTCCACAAACGGTAATTGCAATTGCAGGTCTTGCAACTTAAAACGCGTTCACTTCGAGTCTGAGTGGCCCATTGTGTGGATGTCTTACATTTTTCATAGTTGTTCAAGGTCAGAAGTCGCTGAAGTGGGTTGGACCAGCTTTGACATCCATGCCAGAGTTGACCCCAAAGAACAAATCCTAGGACTGATTTTGCCAATGGGTTTCCAGGAACAACCAGCCCACAGGGCAAAAAAGCATCCAATCAGTGCTGACATGGTCGCCACAGCTAGGACCAAAACGCTGATTTTAACGTTTCCAGCGTGCCCCGCGGGTGTGCAACAACCCTTCGTACAGCTACGGGCGACCAGTTTCTGAAAAGATTCGGCATGATCAAAAGAAACAGTTCGCGGCAAATGACTGAGTTGAGGGAGTGCAGTTCACCCATAATCATTACGCAGCACAGCATGGCGGATACGAAAGTATCAGCATTCTCTGCTTGCAATAACCGGACCCCCTTCAAAGAAGACATTAGTCTGCCAGTGTCTTGACTCCCTTCACCTTACTTTCTCGTCTCGTCCCGGGGGAATTCGCTACCCTGGCCTGGCCCCCCAGCCAGCGCATCCATGTGGTGGGCTATGCTGTCGAAGTGCCGCCGGGGCCTCGAGGTCAATTGAAGACCCGTCAGCAGGTGAGGCCACCACCCACCAAATCACACAAACCTGTAACTTAACCCACATATAATAGTTTGTAAGGTCTTTATGGTTTTTGACGAGTCCATCTTGAGGGTCCCTCTAGGCTCTTGGTGCAAATGAATGTCGAGAGACTGTGTGCGGAGTTTCCGGGGTGGCCCTACCATAGACACAATTGAACGGTGCATTGACGGTGCATGTTCCATTAAATAACCACGTGAGTTCAAAGTAAATGACGTGCACTGTTTCACTCAGACCACTTGGGACTTTAGGGGATTTAAGGTAGTATGGGAATTTGGTGTCTGTCACCGAAAGCCACCAAGAGTTCTCTCAGCTATGGGGAAGAATGGGAGGACCACAACACTACATGGGACTCTACGAACTAATTTGTCCTGAAGGTCCAAAGCACATCACATCATAGCCAGCGAAAGACTAATGTCGTGTCAATTCATGATCAACACATTGGAAGCACCGGCATTGGCAACAACCCAAGATGGTCGCACAACCCAGCCTCAAACGTACTCTACCACTGAAATAGATCACATTGGAATACTGAGCATGGGGCTTCCACCGACTACAAGTGATAGCGCTTGACTCCTCAAGTTCTCCTGCCCCCTATTACCTTTCATGCTGGAATCAACAGGCTTTACACTTTGACGTGGGGATGGCACAGAACATCTACAAAGGCTCAGGTAGAACACCAGCTGCTTACCACCTGGGTTTCCAACCATATTCAAGTCGATTCAAAGGGCTCTCTCGCAATCATGGCCTCAATGACCCGCAGGGTGGTTGCTTAGCTGCGGTTGACCCTCAAGGATGCATTGAAACCACCAGTTTTTTAGATGGAAGCCCTCTGTGACTGTATAGGTGCCGAGATTCAACAGCAACTGGTGGGCCAAAAGGTGCGTACGGTATTGAATGGACTGTCTTGCGTCTTCTGCTAGGCAGTTCACACGAATGGAAATAGCACGCGCCCAAGCTTGAACAGCCTTTGCACAGTCCATTTTGACAGGAAAGGCCTTGGGGTTCCGATCAGGCAGGATGCCATGCACACAGCGTAGTGTTTGCGCATGTTTGCGCATTATTGACTTCTGGCTGGGCACCCAATGGCCTTGTAGAAGTTGCCTTTGCCTGCTACAAGGTGTCGTTAGTTGGAGCACCGCGGCTGCCGGAAATTAAAGAAAAGGCATCTTACGCAAGGAATCGTGAATCACCAAAGTATAGTTGCAAGAGGTTGGCAGCCCCATTTCTCCACCTTCTTGAGCATTTGATCAAGCGCCCCCCTGACATCAAGCTGCTTTTGGCTGCCCAGGACATGCATTTCCTGTCCACGATCTTGCTCTTTCAAACCTGTGAGGCTGAAGCGGACTTGGCCACCAGGATGTCTAAAAATATGAATGCCGAGGGGGCTGTAGATTGCAAGCCAAAGCTCATCAAATAGGTCGCAGTCACGAACACCACGGCTGGCACACTTGATGTTTGAGAAAGAACATTGCCACGAATTCCTGCCTTGGTTGAAACGCATCATCCCGTGCTTGACTTCCACTCTGACCTCATCACGTACCCAGTCTACTTTCGAAAACGTTCGTGAAAATGAGCAATTTGGGTGGAGTATTTGATCCACTTCAAAAGCTATTTCTTCAATTCGCACGCCGCGTAGCTGTGGTGCCATTTGGTTCAATGGCACGCCCTGGAACTCGTAGTCCTGGAGTGCTGCCATTCCTTCCAGTTGACGTGCCAGAAAGACCCTAACTTCTACGGCAGACAAGTCCAACTGAGCCACAAGTTTGCAGGGACCTGCAGCCAGGAACTTGTTGAGGATTTGCGATCGTGCAGTTTGCCAACACTCTTGCGCGGCAGCAGCGCGGACACAAATGACATGGCCACTGCTTCCAGTCGACTTGCCAACTGAGGCAACTCTTGTCTGAAGGTCATGCTTGATGATGTGCAAGCTATCTGGGCTGAACATTGTGAGATACAAATCGTCAAATGGGGCCCGGTCCCGAAAACCTGGCCACGGCAGCTTGATGCCACGAAATTGTACACCCCAATGTTGTCCCTTTCTCTGCCATGACATTTGCGCACTCTTGCACTCAACTTTGCGCCCATCCACACTAAAGTCATACTCCGCCTGTGAAGCTGACCTTTGAGCTCCATTGCAACGATTCCCTCGGGTAGGTTCTGCGATTGTGCTGTGCGGATGCAACTGGGCCAGCTCCTTCTTGCAAAACTCTTGCAGGATCATTCCACGACGATTGGATGAAAGCAAAAACAGTTCATGGCCAGAACGACCAACATAGGCCTTGCTGGTTCGCCCAAGATCACTCAGAATGTGCTGGAACTGTGAGGCACTCAGCACCAAACACCGCAACTGCCTTTCAAACACGTTCGCCATCGTAGCTGGCACACGTGGCTGCAGCATTGCAGCTTGGCAGCCAGGACATTCCGCACCCCAGTTGCCCGGTGAAAAGTGCTGAGCCAAGAAGGGTGTGAATGAATTCAGTGAATAGGTGGAGGCATATCAGGGCCAATACTGTAAAAACACGTCCAACAGACTGACCACTTGGGCTATGAGAGCATATGAGAGGTGATGAGAGGTGCACTGGATGGTTTAGCTTAGGTTGCTGAAAAACTCATCACCGGGAGGTTCCACCATCCGGGGGTTCACCGAGGAACAAAATCAAGGAGAAACTGCTATAAATTCCTACAGCAAAGAAGTCACACTGCCGCATGAGCCCCATGTCTCACCTCGTCCAATCTGAACGCCTCCGAGGCTCCTACAGGAACTGAGCGGCAACACACTAGGTTGGCTCCCTTTTCTTCAGAGGTTCCATGCAGGACAAGTTGTTGCTCAAATCAACGACGGTCTTATTGAACTTATGAGAGCGGCCTAGCGGATGAACATTTCAGCAAAGCTCGAGCATACCATAGACACAGCTGCAATTTCAGCATGCAATGCTGGCCAGCTGCAAGGGCAATATGGATGTGGTGGCCACCCGCCAGCTGGACAAAGACACGCAAATCAGCCACCCTGGTCCCACAGAACTTTTGCAACAGGCCGGCAGTCCCAGTAAAGCTTCATGCGTGCCAGCATCTGGTCAAAAGCCTCCTTGATGCCAGGCCTCAAGTTCATGCTTGATGACGTGCAAGCTGTCTGGGCTGAAGCTGTCTGGGCGGTGCCCGATAACCCACAAATGGCCACTTCAGCTTGAGGCTGCGAAAGTGGAGAACCCATGGCACTACGTCTGAGGACTTCTGCGCTCAACCTTGCAGCCATCCGTACAAAATCGCACACCGCCTGTGAAGCTAAGCGCTGAGGCCCCTGGTGTGCGGATACAGCCGGGCTAGCTCCCTTTTGCGTTCGATTGGCCTGGCTGGTCTGCGCAGTACCATTCAGAAGATGGGAAGAACCATAATAGAATCACCAAAGAATAGTTGCAAGAGGTTGGCAGCCCCAATTTTCCATCTTGTGGAGCATTTCATCAAGGGCCTCCCTGACATCGAGCACACTTTGGCTGGCGAACAAATGTATTCCTTGCCCCTCATGCTCTTGCACGCCAGTGAGGCTGAAACGAACTTTGCCACCAGGGTGCTTAAAGATATGAATGCCACGAGGGCTATAGATTGCAAGCCAAAGCTCATCAAATAGATCGCAGTCACGAACACCGGCACCTGCACATTTGATGTTCGAGAAGGAGCAACGCCAGTACCCTGGCACTTTGATGTAACACATTTGCGCACTCTTGAATTCCACTCTCA